CTCTCTCTCTCTCTCTCTCTCTCTCTCTCTCTCTCTCTCTCTCTCTCTCTCTCTCTCTCTCTCTCTCTCTCTCTCTCTCTCTCTCTTGCCATGGTTCTGTGTGTGCATGTGGCGTATGTGCGCGCACACATGTTTCCTCTGTTTCTCATGCCTGGCTGAAGGTGGTGTTGTGTGTTTACCTGGTTGAAGGGAATAATTGTGAGACAAGAACATGGAACAAATCACTGCTCCTGCGCATCAATGACGTAATCAAACAGACCTGGAGTCAGGAATGCAACAAGGCGCATGATGTTGACCAAGCTCTGGACTAGAAGGAAGGCCACTAGCAGCCTCTAGGCAGTAGCCTCTGTGAAGGCCTGCCTGTTTTTCTTTCTAGTGCAAAGCATGATGTAGGCCAAGCTCTGCACTAAGAGTTGGGGTATATTGAAGTTAGCCTTAGTTAGGCCAGCAGCCTCTGCTTCTTTTCACTTACAAAATTGGTGCTCACAGTTTCGATGTTTGCTGATTCTCTGCCCGCCTGAACTTTGGAGTCAGTGCCTGCAGTTTTCTTTCCCCTTTTCTGTCCTTTGAGGAATATGTTCAACAGGCTCTTCTGTTGGGGTTTGGTTCCTTGCAAATTGCCACGTTGCCGAAGTCAGAAATGTATCGGGATATCAGCAGGTTGCACGACAGGTCATGCACCTTGTTGTCCAGTGTGTCCAGGTACATTTCGATAGGACCACTGGGGAAGAGTCACCGCTGCCTCGTTTTTCAAGGTCTAGGTAGTAAGTCTCCCTCTTCATCTTCCCCTTCTTTTTTTGTGTGGCTATTTGGCATTTGCATGTATTTGTGTTTGTATTAAGTACTATGAACCTGAACTGTATCATATCATAAGCTCGGAACACATCTGTTGAGACACAAGCTCCTATGTTTGTTGTGGTAGGGAGGGAGGATAAGTGGATTGAAATGTTCCACAAAAAAAGAAAAAGAAAAAGAAAAAGGAAAAGAAAGAGGAGAATGGATGGTGGACGTTGTGAGTGCGCGTATTCACACATAGTTGACAGGGATCCCAATTTTACATGTGTTATTGGGATCCCCTTCCAACCTCTCTCTCTCTCTCTCTCTCTCTCTCTCTCTCTCTCTCTCTCTCTCTCTCTCTCTCTCCGTCTCTCCCCTTGCAACCCTGCTCTCTCTCTCTCTCTCTGTCTCTTTATTTTTATTTTTGTTTTTTGTGTTTGAAGGGGATGAATAGCAGCTGTGTGTGTGAGGTTCTGGTATTGAAGCCTCAGCTGCCTTGCATGTGCTCGCAAAACGCTTTAAATAAATGCCTGTAAATCTCGCAGTCAGTCCACGAAGGTGCCAGGCCGGGCAAGACTCTCTCACTTGGATTCTTTCAACTGTATCCGAATGCAATTGCTGTCAGATGCATCAGGAATGTCCGCGTTTGAGTATGCCCTGCGTATGATATAAGTTTGGCGAAGTAATAGTTACCTCGGCGGCATTGGTTTATGTGTGTACCGTTTGCTAAAAAACTAGGTCTTCGTATCGCACTTTGGCTTTTCCTTCATAGAAGGTGAAATTCAAAAGCAGACTGGTATGGTATTGAACTCCGTAGCGAACTTGGGTAGTATTTTGGCCCCTGGGCAAAATACTCAACCACCCCGAAATGACAAACATCCATTGCATGACCTAACAGCAAGGCACAGACTATTGTTTTTTGTTGTGTTTTTTGTTTTTTTGTTTTTGGGCTTGCGTGTGTAGTTTAGGCACGGATATGGGACATCAGAAATCTGGAAGGTTTGGAAAAGTGTCTCGCTCAGCTTAACCATCCACGGGTTGTCAATTCAGCGTACTTCTCACCGGTAAAGATCACTTCTCATTTTCTTTTACAATACTTCTTTTCTGAAGTCGTTCAGCTTTTTCTCTCTCTCCATATTTTGTTCTCTTGTCTTTGTTTCAATTTCTTCAATATTTGCAAGGAAGGTGGGTTGTGCAAGTGAGAAAAAAAAAGGGATTTTTTTTTTTTTTTTTTTTTTTTTTTGAAAAGAGGCAAAAAGGGAATCGAAATGCATATCACAGTCTCTTGGATGCTACGGATCTCCCCCCTGAGTAGAACACACGGCGATTATGACCCTAAAGCGGAAAAGTGAAACTGTGCCCTTGTGAACTAGGCTGCTACAGTGGCCTGGGACCACTTGCCCGGCCGGGCCGAAAAAAAGAAAAAAGAAAAAAAAAAGAGCTTTATATCTTCTTTTTTTCCCTAGAATGATAGAATCTAAATTTTGTGAAGAATTTTCATGCGACCCTTAAAGAATTTTCATGCGACCCTGAGGCAAAGTTCAGTTTTTGTTTCTGGCACTTTCTGCATAAGCAGCATAACATAGTTTTTTTTTTGAATTTTTGTTTTTGTTTTGCTGGGCAGGCCACCCGGGCAAACAAGGTGACCCGGGCAGTGCAGCTGGTAGCCTAGCTTGTGAAGAGATTTACCAGCAGCAATCTGAAAATACGTACCTTTGAATGACATGGATGCCCCTCTGACTTTAACCCAAAGTTACCCAAAAGAGTTAGCAGCTTTGTTACTAGAGTCGCCAAGCCAAGGCCACCCGGCCAGGCGACCCGGGCGAACTTGCACGGGGGGTGACCTGCCGGGGTACCCGGGTGACACCCAAAAGGGGGTCTTTTTTTGGCAGCGAGGCGATTTTGGGCCCACTGACACGTGCCCAAATCCGGCGTTATCTTTGAGTTTGGTGATATCTCACCAAAGTGCGAGGCTCAAGGCCTCGGTAAGTCCTACTGGGCCCTGTTTCAGCAAGAACGGCCGCCCTAAGTGAAGGCGGGCCTGACAAGTGACGAGAGGCCTAATTTGGGTTTTTGATGCAGCTGGGAAATTCAGGCAGTTGCGCAGCGCCAGTTGGTTGAAGTGAGCCCAGGCCCTGCCTGCCTTTTTCCAGATGTATCCGGGCAGGCCTTGGGCCAGAGACGGGGCATGAACTGAACACAGGCCGCTGGCAGTTGGACACGGGTAACCACCCCATGCCCTGTGGAATATTCCCCAGGACAGGGGCTCGGCCACTTCGGGCCTACCGGAAGCTTCCGTAGAGAGGCCCAGGCCAGCCGGGCAGCCCACGACTGGCAGCCTCATTCCATAAAGGAAAGTGCTTGGCTGCTGGCTGGACATTCGGGCACTTGCTACATGCCGCGCCAGCGCTGCTGCGCTATTGGCAGGCAAGCGCCCACGCGCTCACGGGCGAGCAAGGCACAAGCAGGCAGCCATAGCCAAGCTGGCCTGCGAGATGCTGGATGGGGCGCATGGTGGTCCTTGGGTGCACGTGGCATCTGTGTGGGGGATCGAGGTTGTGAGTGAAGCGTGAGACATACCTGGTGCTCGAGGCGAACGGAATTGGCCAAGATCTGCTCGTACTTCGGGAAGCTGTTGACGTCACCAGCGGCATCGTAGATAGGCTAGATAGGGTCTCTGCCATTCGTAGTCTGGGCGCTGAGCGCCAGATAGGGATTCAACATTGGCTCATTGTTGATGATGATGAGACTATTCCAACATTGTCACTTGTGAGCTTTTGCTGTGCTCTTATTTGGTGGAACTCAAAGTTGCAATTCTGCTTTTGGTTCGAGGTCAAGACTGTCTGGTTTCATGTGTGTGATGCTGCGTGGTTTTCTGGAATTAGCTATCGCTCATTTTCCTTGCAAAAGGGTTTCTATGGGGTATAAGTGGGGTTCGAAAGGGCTTGAACGGGCTTAAAGGGGCGTAAGGGGGGATGGTTAAATTTAGTATTTTATTTTTCTTTTTTATTTCATTTTCCATAGCGAATTGCATGGTCACCCACAGGCAAAAGATGTTTGGTTTGCAATTCTGCATAACATAGACTTTTTTGAAGCTTTTTCAGGTTTTTTGCTTTTTCTTTTTCTTTTTCTTTTTCTTTTTCTTTTTCTTTTTCTTTTTTGCGCTGGGACTGCCCGGGACCTTGACCGGTTGGGCCACACGGGCCAATCTGAGGCAATCCGGCTCCCGGCTGGTAACACAGTTTAGCAGTGTCCCCAGTCACAGGGTAGTTGTTTCTGGTACATTTACTGCAGGGCGTAGGGTGGCATCAATCTACGAGTAGAAGCTGAATTCGCTTCACCCGAAAAGATTTGCGAGTTTTCTAACTTCCTCCTCTTACAAATGAAACCGACAATAGCATTCCTCTTTTTTTTTTTTTTGCCCCTCAGTCCATTGTGCATATCATCTTTGCAGCTCCTGGAAAATATATGAGGAGTCCATGTTACAACTCTCCATGCCGTGGGAGCGCTGAGAGTCTGACTTGCAGTCCAGACTCTGTGATGTAAGGGGCTAGTGTATTATGGGCACCAGGGGGAAGACCCCTTTCCCTGCCCCACCCGTCCTGCGTTCCCCGCCCCCCCACCCCTGCTGCTGGAAAAAAAAGGCCCTTCTCTCCCCGATCATGAGCATCCCATTAACGTCAATGACTGCCACCTAATCCCGTTATTCTTCTTGTTTTCCGTTTGAAAATCTCTTCTCTCAAAAACGTGAATGCTGATGTGACGAAGGGGAAGATTTTTTTTGTTTGTTTTTTCGGAAAAAGAAAAACTAGGACCATCAGATCAAATGGGCAATGATATGAGTGTGTACTGCTCGCTCCAGCGCTGTGTTGATTTTCCGGAAAATTACTGTGTTGGTAATCTTTGACATCTGTATGGCTTCTTTTGACTATGGGCTTGCTCGTGTTGAAGGGTGCCTTTTTTCAAAGCCTTTTTTGAAGTAGAAATTCATCAGAAAGCACAATGATGTCCAATTGCAAACGAAATGAATGAACTGGAGGGGAGATGGTGTACAGCAGCAGCAGCAGCAGCAGAAGAAGAAGAAGACGTACACCAGCAAAGACCAATGATACTTCCCCCCTTCTCGCCAAGCAAACTCCTCTTTCTTTCTCCTGCCCTCTTATTCAAACAATAAATAATAATAACAACGATGATAATAATAATAATGATGAATGGCAGAACCAGAATCAATGTCCGAATCCCTCTTCTACTGCCAGCACAACTTGAGGTCCACCATAGCCATGACCACCCTTCTCCTTCCACTTCATGAGGCCGAGGCCATGGCGGACTACTAGGGCTTTGCCCTGACGTGCAAAAGACAATGCAAAGCAGCTATGGCCACTTCCACTCAGGCCGCCATGCCTGACTCTGAATCGAAGCTTCTTGATGCAGCTCTACCCCAACGGAGGCCTTCCAGATGCAGCGCCCACCAAGGTGATGGAGATGGCGACCCCTGGGGCTCCCCTCTCCTAGTCCCTTCTTCCTCCTCCTCCTGGCCGAGCGCCTCCACCATAGCCAAGGTGGAGAGCTGGGCGCTCCTTCCCCATGGCGCAGTGCACCAGCGCTGCTCCACGACATGCTCCAGCAGCATGTCGCCAAAACTTGCACGCAGCAAATGAGGAAGAGCTCCTGGCTCTTCCTGGAGTTACAGCAAGGCAGCAGCCTCCTTGGGCGATGACTTCCAGGCCGCGCGTCCTCCAAGCAACCGGTACCTCCTCCCTTTCGGAGGGAAACATCATTGCAGGCTCTGATATCGTCCGAACAGGCCCCAGACTACAGGCTACTTGGACTGGTACCTGCCTAGACCTAACCTACCACTACCGGGCCTCTAAAAATGCCAACTTTGTCTTCTTTGCATGGTACCGGCCTACCTGCTGCTCGAGTGTTTATCCCCACTGCTCTTAAGTGCTGCGGGCCTACTCCCGCTACTCGAGTGTTTTCCCCGCTGCAACCCTCAAAGTCACGGCCACAGGTACCAGCCCAGCGGGGCCTCCCAAACAAACAAGTACCCTTGCGGGTCACACACACACTCAAGCCGACAAGCACTCAGACAGGCACGCAGACCAGCAAGCACGCACACACACAGACTTTGAAAACTCAGCAGCAAGCGGGAATCTCAGCAAGGCATTCCTTCTAGCGGCAAAACTCAGAAATCAGCTGTGTTCGCAGTCCATGGTTTGGGCAGGTCCTTACAAAGGAGTTTCTGTGTGAATCATCATTATTTCTGCACCAAAAAAAAAAAAAAAAAGACCTTTGAAAAGGAGCATCTGGAATAAGGCTGGTTTCCGATAGTCACGGTGTCTTAACAACCTGGAATGACATTTGTTTCTTGTCTTTTGTTCTTGGGCTTTGTGTTGTGCGCAATATTTCTATTTATGGTTCCTCTTCCTGAATTCTTATTCCTTCAAGAGAACAGGGCGGAAGATTCTCACAACGTGTCAAGATAATAGAATTCGCGGTAAGCTGTCTTCAAATTTCAGAACTATAATACTATACTTTTTTTCTTTTTTTTTCCTCCTCTGAATACTTGCTGAAATTTTCAGTCTTGGTGGAGTTTTAACTTTTAACCATTGTAGAATTGTGAAGCCAAGGACTTTGGGCTGAGGAGTAACTTTTTTTTTTTTTTTTTTTTAACAGGTCCTTATGGTCCTGGCTCCATTTCCATTCTGGGGAGCAGTACTCATTCTGTTTTCACTTGCTCAATAGGTCGAAAAATATTGAAAGGCCTTCCACGATTCAGACCCCAAATTCGAGTTTCAGGGTCAAAGGCCTGGGCCAAGAAAGGCCAAGTCAGTCAGTTTCAGAGACGTCACAGTCGGGTACCTTAGGACTCAAGTCCAACAGGCACCCAGCGAACAGACATCCCAGGGGCAAAAATCACGTCTCATAATGAAAAGTCGTATTGAAAAGTCACATCCCAAAGTCGTATTGAAAAGTCACATCCCATGGGCAAAGGACACTTCCACAGGCAAAAATCGTGTCCCAGAGGCAGGAGTCACATCCCACAGTCAAAAAAAGTTATGGGTTCCACAGATGAAAAGTCGTGACTCAAAGGCCCAAGCAGCAGCACACCAATGAAAATTCGGAAAAGTACCAGGCCTTGACATTCTGAAGCAAACAAGCCGTGGGGATGTGGTACCAGAACCAAGTCAAGCCCCAAGAGGCAGAGGCTGGGACGAGTTGAATCCGAGTCCAAGACAATATAAGGACTGGCCAGCCTCCTCATTCGGGCAGATTGCTCATTCGCACGAGGTGCCAGAAGTGCTGGTGCACTTGTGCGCTATTGTGAGGGGGGAAGCGTTGAGCCAGAAAGCTGCGCTAGTAGAGGGAGAGAGAGGGAGCAGCCATAGCTGCCCAGCGCTGGCAGAGGGAAGGCAGCCATAGCTGCGCCAGTGCTTAGTAGTTAGTAGTAGACCTCAGGAGAACTAGTAGTGCTAGCAGTGGGTGTATTCAGAATTGGTCCTCGAGTAGTAGAAGGTGTGAGTGCATGCAAGTAGGGAGAGAAGACACAGGGAGGTAGTAGACAGAGAGAAGACCGAGAGAGGAAGAGAGAAGAGCATTGAGAGAGATACTTACCTGAGTGGAGACGGTGGTTACTTGGGTTTGCGCTGTTGAGCGCTTGTGACTGGAACTCTTAATTGCTCATACGATAATCTGTTGGAGATTCTAAAGCTGCGCTTACCTGGTCTTTGTCTCTCTGGCCTCCAGTGCGAACTTCGTGTGAACTCCGTGTGAACTCGCTTGTGCATGGTGTGTGATTGTGTGCGCTCATCGGTGGTAAACTGGGAGGTTCATTGCAATATCCACAAATGACCTCATTCTCCAGGTCTCAATTCTCTGTTCATCGCATCGGATATGAAGAGTCCGTTGTAGGGGTGTCAAGGCAAGGGGAATAGGAGCTTTACGCCCCTCTACCTAACCCTTGCCCTTAGAATTGCCTCTGTTTAGTAGTAGGCCCCTCTCATAGACTGCGCCTGAAGAATTCATCATTGTCAGTCTTTCCACGAGTTTCCCTGGTGCACCTCTTGGGCTTGGATTGGACATCAGCTCACCCCCCACCCCACTGCACAAACCAACCGAAACATCAGGAGGGAAGTACACATCCCTGATTTTGGGGAATTTTTTCATCAGAGGGAAATGAGAAGTGAAAGCCCCCAATGTTGGGGTACTTGAACTTTTGTGCACCTGCACGTACGCCCCTTGGATCTGGGCGGCCAACCCTTTCCACAGCTTTTGAGTCCGACGACGTTCTTCAGAGGAACCCCAGTTGTTTTTTGTGGTTTTCAACACTGTTCTGCATAAAGATTCGGCCTACGGGAGGGGGAAGAAAACTTTTTGACTGCCCCCACTTCGGCGACTTCGTGCTCTCATCTACTTCAACATAATATTTGTGGAAAGTCATGGCTGCAGGGTATGTGCTGCTGTACAAGGTAACCAGATAAAGTGAGAAAAAATGGAAAGTTTTTTGTGGTTTTCAACACTGTTCTGCATAAAGATTCGGCCTACGTGAGGGGGAAGAAACTTTTTGACTGTCCCCACTTCGGTGATTTCGTGTGCTCATCTACTTCAACATAATATTTGTGGAAACACTGGAAACTTTGGAAAGTCATGGCTGCAGGGTATGTGCTGCTGTACAAGGTAACCAGATAAAATGAGAAAAAAAGGAAAGTTTTGCCTATCTGCTAATCTTTTCTGTATCGTTCCTGTGTCATTCCGAAGGATGTTATAGAGAAGATTAGCATGCACCAGAATTTTGAATTTTCTGATGGGCAAAACTTCCTGGGATGAGACTCATAAATCGAGAAAGAAAGAAAGAAAAACGAAAAAAAAAAAGGCAATTCTGGTGCAGATGCAACAAATAGGGCTGCCGCTGCCAGGCTGAGCCCCCACAATGATTTGCCAGTTCAGGGCTGGGCGAAATGAAGCATTGGGGTTATGTACTGGTGGCTTAAGGGGATACAAAACCATGAAACCGTAGCTATTGCACTATAACTAAGTTAACTAACGTATACAGCGAGGAAGAGCACCAGAGCAGTCCCTTAACCTGGTTCTTTTTTTCTTTCTCGTTTTTCAAGTTTTTCAACTCGAGGATCATGTCCAGATCTGGTTGCACATTATTACACTTGCTTTGCTTCGCAGTCATACTGCTTCCTCTCTCTCTCTCTCTCTCTCTCTCTCTCTCTCTCTCTCTCTCTCTCTCTCTCTCTCTCTCTCTCTCTCTCTC